CAGGCAATGGTTTTGCCATACTCTGCCTCAGGCAAACCACCCCTAGAGTGTTATGGTGAGTTCTGGCCACCATTCCAAAGACCTACTTTGATAAGCTAGGGAGTGGTCTCCAGTTCACACCATATGAAAACTGACTGAAGAAATTGCATATGTTTAGCCAAAAGAAGAAATAACTTAAGGGAAGTGAGAATTGTTTCTGAAGGGATTCAATGTTCTTTGCTTGACTCCAGAAGGAAGAACCAGCAGGGAAAAGGCAAATTTAGGTGTGAGGGCAAGGAAGCCCTGCTAACGGTGAAAGCTAGCCAGAAGTGGAATGAACTTGCCTCTCACTATAGGCTTCTGAGAAAGGCCTGAGAACTGCTTCTTGGGAATGTTATAGACAGAATTATTTTTCAGGTACAGGTGGGATCAGTGAACCACTAAGATCACTTCCAGCTCTGGAGTTCAGCGACGGCCAATGAGAGGCAGTGTTGCAAGGGGGTAAAGGATCACAGCACGGAGAGCTGGCCTTAGAGGATATTCAAGTCCTGACACATATTGGCTGTGTGCTCCTGGATAAGTCACTTAATTTCTTAATTGCCCTACGCAGCTTCCCAAGACTATATGTAGAGGTAGTGTCCATCTGAATAGGCAGATGACAATAATAGCTAGTATTTGTGTTTTTGTTCACTTGCGTCTGACTCTTTGTGACCCCATGGACCACACTGTCCATGGGGTTTTCTTGGCAAAGCTACTGGAGTGGCTTGCCATTTCCTTCTCCAGTGGATTAAAGCAAACAGAGGTTAAGTGACTTGTCCAGGGCCACACATCTAGTAAGTGTCTAAGATTGGATCTGAACTCAGGTCTTCCTGATTCCAGACCCAGCACTCTATACCACCTAGCCACCACAGGATTTATATGCCTAAGGTATTCAAAGCACTTTATGCATATGATCTCTTTTTATTCTCCCAGAAACCTTGGGAGGTAGCCACTACTTTTGTTCCCTTTTTCATAGACGAGAAAACTGAGGCCTAGAAGAGTTACGTGAGTTGGTCAGGTTCACACAACTAGTAAGTGTCTGAGGCAGGATTTGAACTCAGGTCTTCCTGAAAAAGGCAGGGGACACCTTCACCAGGAGCTCTCTCTGACAGTGAAGTCACAGATCACATTTTTTTTAAAAAGAGTAGAACATGACAAGGGAGAAGAATCGACTTGTGTGACATCGGAGTCATAGAATATAGTTTGAAGAAATCTCCCAGTGTCCTCATGGATAGGAGGGAACAGGCTGAGAGAGAAAATTCAGTCAGGCCACATGGTTATTGCTACTCATCGGGAGAGCAAATCAGAACCCAGGTTTCCTGATTCCCAGTCTAATGCTCTTTCCACGGGGCTATACTGCCTCACTGTCACTCATGGGACGCAAGGAATTGGGGAGCAAATCATCCAAGTTGACATTTCCCTATGTCATATACATAAACCAACACCAGAGGGCGCTGTGAGCATCAGCCAAGCTACCTATTCTTCCTTGGGAGAAGGTATTAGAGCTAAGACCCAAGCACCTGTCTTGGATTCCCTCCCTCCAACCCCCTGCAGAGCTGCTCCAGCAGCATCCCCTTGCAGGCACCTTCAATCTCCCCTCCTTCATTGGCTCCTTCCCTTCTATCTGCAGCCATACTCAGGTTTTCCCACGCCTTCCCTTGACTTATCATGTCAGCCAGTTCTAACTTGTGTCCTTCTACCAAGAGTCTTGAAAAAGTTCTGTGTGTGCTCCCATCCATTTTCTACTTTTAGATTCCTACCCGTCTTTTAAAAAAGGAGTTCTTAATCTTTTCTTCCTTCCTTCCTTCTTTCTTTCTTTCTTTCTTTCTTTCCTTCTTTCTTTCTTTCTTTCTTTCTTTCTTCTTTCTTTCTTCTTCTTTTCTTTCTTTCTTTCTTTTCTTTCTTTCTTTCTTTCTTTCTTTCTTTCTTTCTTTCTTTCTTTCTTTCTTTTCTTTCTTTCTTTCTTTCTTTCTTCTTTCTTTCTTTCTTTCTTTCTTTCTTTCTTTCTTTCTTTCTTTCTTTCTTTCTTTCTTTCTTTCTTTCTTTCTTTCTTTCTTTCTTTCTCTTCTTCCTGACCCCAGGCCCAGCACCTTATCCACTATACCACCTAACTGCCCTAATTAACCTAATTGTGCTAAGTACGGGCAGCTAGGAGGCACCGTGGAGTCAGGAGGACCTGCAAAGTGAGCTGGAGAAGGAAATGGCAAATGCTCTAGTATCTCTACCAAGAAACTCCCAAAAAAGGATGAAGGAAAAGCACAAAGAGTAGGACACGACTGAAAAATGACTAAAAAAATGTTTTAAGTACTAAGGATTCAAAGGCAAATGTGAAACGGTCTCTGCCCTCAAGGATCTTACATTCTATCGAAAGACACAAATACAGAATACAACAATAATAGTAACTTAGAAATTTATACAGCATCTAGTATATGCCAGGCACTATGCTAAGTGCTTTATAATTATCTCATTTAATCCTCACAACAGCCCCGAGTGCTATTATTGTCCCCATATTACAGATGAGGAAACTGAGGCAAATAGGATTAAGTAACATGCCCGGGGTCACACAGAAAGTAAATATCTAAGGCCGGATTTGAACTCATGTCTTCCTGACACCAGGCTTGGTGCTGTATCTACTCCACCACCTAGGTACCCTAAAATACAAGATAATTTAGGGAGGAGAGCATGAACAGTTGGGAGGCTAAGGAAAGACTGCATGAAGAAGATGGTGCTTAAGCTGAGCCTTGAAGATTACATGAGGCAGAAGTGAGGATGGAGTGCCTTCCAGCCATGGAGGCCAGCCAGTGTAAAGGCACTGACATGGGAGATAGAGGAGTGTCTTGTGAGAAGGATGCTGCCCTTTTACATTGGTCCCACGGTATTATGGGAAAGTGAATACTTTCCTATTGGCATGTCTACTATGCCAGTATTTTAAGAAGGGGAAAACCCACCCTCTTTGTCCACTTCAGTCAGCTCTGGATGAGCCAATGGGGATTATCCATTGCAAATTTCTGATCCCAAACTGTCTTCCCCTTCCCACCCAGTATACTTTGGGGCCACCCTACTCAGAGGAAGGCAGCGAGATGAAAGCTCATTTGAACATCAGCCTGATCCAAGCATTACTGGGAACGTCAGTGAGCTGGCGGGAACAAACCCCACAACAGAACAAGAGAAATGGCGCTTGGGTTAGCTGCTGTTTTGAATTACCCATGCCTTTGCTTCCTGTAGTTGTGTCCATTAGCGCAGATGTTGGAGAATTTTCTGGATGCTGTGTAATCACCCAATAGCTATCAGATGAGGACGATGACACACACTCTGTCCAGCTGGTTAACCTCCGACTCCCACTCTAGTTACCCCTTGAGGCTCTCACTTTCTGTGAAGCAATCCCTCGGTCTGTTCAGAGCCACCTTTGACAATGGCTGGCTTGCAAGCCCCTCCTTGTCTTTGCCCAGTGGGTTTTTCCATCCTCCTGGGACCCTTCAGTTGCTTTCTATCCTTCCTGGAGCCGAAGGAAGGCCGTCCTGGCATCCATGTCCAAGGCAATGACTCTTGCCTCTCTCCCTTGGATTGTTCATTAATGCAGTGGAGTGTGTGGCTTGGTCTCCCAGCCTTGTCCTGACACTGTTGACCATGGCCCTCCAGGCAGCTTTCAGAGCCTGGGACACTGCTTCTCAGAGCCCGTGCCAACCTAAACCACGTGCTCCAGAACAGCTTCCTGGGAGGCTGAGGCTGTGCTTTCATTTGGACATTCAGTTCCAAGACTCCCTCTGCCCCTGGCCTAGTTCACAGGTCAGAACTGGGCAAGTGCCAAAAGGTCAGTGATGCCAGCGCTGCCCTGGACCAGTGGTCTCCAAACTTTCTGTAATGTCTCTTCCACTTCATACATACATACATACAACTGCCATATACCTATATTTTCCTTTTCTTTTCCTTTCTTTTCTTTTTTTCTTTTCTTCCCCCCTTCCTCTTCCCTCTCCTCTCCTCTTCTCTTCTCTCCCCTTCTCTTCCCTCTTCTTTCCTTCCTTTCATCTTCCCTGTCCTCCATGCCTCCTCTCTCCTCCCCTCTTCTTCCATTATCTCCCCTTCCACTCCTCCCCTGCCCTCCCCTCTCCTATCCTTTTTTCTCCCCTCCTCTCCTCTCTCCTTCTACTCTTCTCTCCTCTCAGTTTCCCTATCTCACCCAAGCTTAAAGTATAGTGGCCAATTATGACATCAATCCGCTGTTGATCAGCTTAGAAGCTTTGACCTGATGCTTTTCTAGCCTGAGATGGTTGGTCCCTTTTTCAGCAGCTGAGGGCTCACCATGTTGGTGCTGAACTCAGCAAGGACACCATTTGGATTGATCTCCACTACAGCTCAGAACTCCAGAGCTCAAGTTATCCACCAACCTCACCCTTCTTGGTAGCAGGGATTATGGGTATGCACCACTATACCTGCCCCCTACATTTTTCAGAAGGAAGGAAAGAAAAAAGGAAGAAAAGAAGAAGGAAAGGAGGAAGGGAAAGAAGGAAGGGAGGGAGGGAAAGAAGGAAGGAAATGAGTATTTATTAAGTGCTTACTATACACTCTGCTAAGCACTTCACAAATATTATCAATTTAATCCTAACAGGAGTCCTGTGGGGTAGGTTATATTATTATGCCTATTGTATAGTTGAGGAAACTGGGATGGACAGAAATTAAGTGACTTGCCCAAGGTCACACAGCTAGTAAGTGACTGAGGCTGGATTTGAACTCAGGTCTTCCTGACTGCAGGTTTAGTAATCTGTGCCACCAGCTGCCTCTTAAATTGCATCATAAAGCAATTTATGCAAACAACTTCTTAGCATATATTTTAATAAAATAAAATTCAAAATGTATTACCATTCCTATATCAAGACACATCTTAAATAAAACATCAAAACAATGCAATATACTTATTTATTGTTGATAAAAATCTTTAGAATTTAGTACTTATTAAATAATAATTTTATTCTTATGATGGGCGAGCTTGTTCTGTTCTGTTTTGGTTTGGTTTTTTGGTGTTGTTTCTCAAAATGTGCCATTGATGATATTGTTACTCAAGATTCTTTTTTTAACCACTGGTATAAATTAATATTTTGTTCACAGCTACAGCAGAAAAAAGAAAAAAGAAAAGGACAAAAATAAGATGTTACAACATGAATTCGATAGAGTGGTCTTATTTGAATTTGCCTTGCATGTTTCCACTGGGCTGCAACCAATTACCATATAACTTTGAATAGTGTAAATTTAAATATGTGTAACCACTTCAGAGGATTTGCTATTGGCATTCATCAGGACCTAGCCGTAATTTGTATTGCTTTGTTGGATCAATCAGAGAATTCTTTACTCACTGGTAGCCAAAACATTATAATATTTTCAGGTTCGGATGTTTGATTCAGCATACTGTCACAGTACAAGTCTATTAACCATTCTTGTTCGGATGAAATAAGATCAAAGGTATGAGACTTGTCCATGACAAATGGGTTCCTTACACATTTATATATTAAAATGCATTTTTTCAATGAAACGAGAATTGCTTCAATAGACTGATTAAACGATTAATAAATATGACTTAACTTTCTTCCATTTCATTTAAAGAGAAGGTAATTTTTCAAACATATCAATTACATTATTTTGTAAATTTGTTATCCATATCTCTAACTTTTTCATAAATGTAGACACTTCCTCTTTCTGGATCATGGTATAGGTTTAAGGATCTTGTGTTGGTTTATCTAGAATACTTATTTTTTTCAAAAACATTTAAACTTCGGGAAGAGATTTTTATTAAAAAATGAATTATTGCTCTTATTATCACTAATAAAAATGCAATTTCTTTTTTTTTTTTTTGCTCAGATAGCCTTCAAATTATTTGGGCACAAGAAAGTCAATATATTTTAGAAAAATACAGAAGGTCCCTGTGCTCTTCCTTTATGTTGTTACTTAATTTTACAAAGACCCTTTTAATAAACTGTATGTGTTCCTGTATACAGATGATTACTCCTGTATCAGTTTGAAAAATGATTTAGCTCTTAATTCGTTCCTCAACACCAGTGATTATCCTTTAAAATCAAACTTCGTTTTAAATTGAGAATTGTAGACCTGTATATTATCCTGCTATCAACTGGGCACATTAGAATCTAATACAAATTTCCCGCAGTATGTAATTTCCATTTAAAAAAAAATTTGTCAATTATATTGACTTTTTCCTGGAAGTGATATTGCCATCTGCCAGTGTTTTGCAAAGGAAAAATCTTCCCTAACGTTCTTTTCAATAATATTTTATACTGTTCATACGGAATCAAATGATTATCTTTTTTATTTTTTTCAAATGATTATCCTTAACTGTATCTGTTGTTTCAACTACTTGCAATGCAAAACAGGAAGATTTTAATTTCTTGATTTGTTGATCACTAAGGTCTTCAGACGTATGATTTTCCTACTCACCATATTAACTTCAAGTGGAAGCATTCAATGCTGCTTTGCATATGATTTGCCAAATATTATTTTGACCACATCATTACCGTCAGGTGACATGAACTTTTGTCTTATGAAATGAGACCTTTTACCCTCAGCTAGGTAAGCAGTCTTTTTATGTCATAAACATGGTTTTAAGCAGTTTTTTGGTGGTTTTCTTGGCTTCCTTTAAAGCATTTCATTCTCTCTGGAAAAGTTCTCTTGTTTTCCCAATACAATCTATATTAACATTCTGTATTTCTGTATTCTGCTCCTTAACTTGTCTCAGTGGTCTTCTCTTGCACGACTTTCGGCTGTTCCGATGATATCATCCAAAGGAACCTAGAAAGTATGGCTAAGAATTATGAAGTCTTGGGGAATCTACCCCCTACCCCATTCAACAGTTCAGACAGGGATTATTAGCCTCCAGTCTATGACTAGAGTTCAAGGAATCTATGAATTGGGATGGAAAAAATTTGGTTTCCTTTGTAATTCTAAATGTTTTATTTTATTCATTTAAAAACATTATTCTGAGAAGTGGGCCATAGGTTTCACCAGACTGCTGCCAAAGGGGTCAAGGACACACACAAAAAGCTTGAGAACCCCTTTTCTTAGGGGGATAGGTGATATTTTCACCACAACTGGTGAGTGATGGTCAAGGTTTCCAAAGACAGAGGTGCATTTAGAGAGTGAACAGCTGACTTAGAAAACGGTATCTGAAAATGGGATTTAGATTTCCAGGCTTCACTTTAAAATAGAGGAATGACGAGCTCTAGACCAGGGATGGTGTGTACCTATAAGAGCTGGGAATACCATGTAGAACACCATTGCTGGTGGGAATGCCATTTTCCTGGAATCTGATCAAGAGGGATTTAAGGTGAATAAAGGCCCATGGAGGGACCAAACTTGGTGCCATGAAGAACAGTGGTATGCCAGTGGGAAAGACCAGGAATTCTCTTCAGTTGCCAGGTCTTGAAGACTCTACCTCCCTAACATTTCTCACACATGTCCCCTTCTCTCCACTCATGCAGCCTACCCCAGATCAGACCCTTGTCCCCTCTTCCTTGGACTCCCAGTAGATTCCTAACTGGTCTCTCTGTCTCTAATCACTCCGTTCTTCAATTCGTCCTTTGCTCAGCTACCAGGTTGCTATCCCTAAAGTACTGGTCTAATGAGGTCACTCCCCTGCTCGATAAACTCTAGTGCTGCCTATTGACTCTAAGATCCACTACAAACTCCTTTGTAGAATAGCGGCAGCACTTAACACAATGTTTGGTGCATTATAATAATAATTTTTTTAAAGCTTGTTGACTGACATGTAAAGAACTTCACAACCTATCTCTAACTTCCCTTTCTAACCAATCCGTTACTCCCCTTCACTTATTCTAGAGTTCAAACACACTGACCTTCTGGCTGTTTCTCCCACATGACACTCCAGTCAGCTTCCAGCTCCACACCGTTGCATAGGCTGTCCCTACCCAACCCTGGAATGTACTCTCCCCTCTCTTCTGATTTGGAATCCCTGGATTCTTCTAAAGTTCAGCTCAAGTGGCATGTACATGAGACCTTTCTTGATCCCCTCCTTCAGCTTTTTCACCTTCCTCACCCCAGTGTTGTGTGTATATCTATTTTGTGTCTATACTTTCATAATGGGGTTTAGTTGCATGCCCAATTCATCCAAGATTGATCCACATGGTATCTTAGATCTACATCTATGTGACTGGGGGAAAGTCTTTATCACATGGAACATAGTTTTCGTCATCTGTAAAATGAAGATAAGAATACATACTACCTACCTCACACGATTGTCAGGACAATAACACTTTGCAAACATTTAAGTGCTATAGAAATGTACACTATTATTATTGTCATTAATAATAAAGAAAAGTTAAAATAAATAGTACTAAATTCATTTTTTTGTTGTTGTTATTGTGAATGCCAGTGCATGAGGAGGGGGTGGGGGAACAGGTTTGATTAGAAGAATATAAGAAGGTAAATGGAGAGCTCTGTGGGGATTTTGAAGGGTACTCTGGACTCTTTCAAGAGGCTTATGATGCTGGCTCTTGATTGTGTCTAATTTCACTTCAAACTGTCTGGCTTTTCTTTTCCTGGAGATAGGTGCATCACTAGCACACCACTCACTCATTAGTCGTGATTTGGTCTTTTCTTGGCTCAAAAATGTAATAAAGGAGAAGGGGAGGCAAGGGGAAAAGAAAGATTTTCCTGAGGTAAGATGACAAATGTTGGAAGAGAGACCAGAAGGGGAAAGGGAGTTAAAGAGGATGTGTGTATCCATGTGAGTAATTTCCTGATGTGGAATTAACTGAGCTGGGAGCAGTGAAAGACAGTCACAGGAGTGAGAACAGCATGCATGTGATCTCTCAGAGGGGGAAGAAAGGAGGCGGTGGGAAAGAGCGAGGAGCTGTCTAACTTATTGGCAATTCCCCACTGCCTCCTTTCTTCCTCCTCAGAGGGATTACACACATTCTGTTCTCACTCTTTTGACCCTCACTTTCATTGCTCACAGCTCAGTTAATTCCACATCAGGCAGTTACTCTCACGTACACACACATCCCTTTCTCCTTCTTTCCTCCTTCTCCCTCTCCCCTCCTTTCTCTCTGTATCTCTGTCTCTGTGTGTATGTGTGTGTGTATCTCCCCTCCCTGCTTCTCCACCACAATAATACTGTTTCTCTGTGTCTCCCTTCTCTCTCCTCTTTCTCTCCTCTCTCTCTGTCTCTTTATCTTTGTCTCTCTCTGTTTGCCTCCTCTCCTTGTCTGTCTCTGTCCATCTGTCTCTGTCCCTTCTGTCTCTGTCTGTCTCTATCTCTCCCTGTCTATCTCTCTGTCTATCTGTCTGTCTGTCTCTCTCCCTGTCTTTCTCTGTCCCTTCTGTCCCTTCTGTGTGTGTGTGTATGTGTGTGTGTGTGTGTGTGTGTGTGTGTGTGTGTGTCTCTCTCTCTGCTACTTGGGTGCCATGCAGAGAAAGCTGAAACATGCTTTGGAGATGCATCAGATGGAAGAAATTTCAAAGACCATTCAGCCCAGCCCCTATAGTTTACAGACAGAGAAACTGAGCCGAGGAATTCAATGACTTGACCAACATCTCCCAGGTGGTAAAGCACCACAGGTGTGACTCACAGCCAGATCCTCTCATTCTAAAACCAAACACTGGTGAGTGAAGAGGGCAAAGAGCTGCTTGTAAGTGATATTTGTAAATCGCAGAAGTTTTCAAGCCCAACTGCCTCATTTCACAGAAGGGAAAGCTGAGGCCCAAGAAGGGGAGATGACTCTGCCAAGGTCACACAGCTAGTTAATATCAGAGCCAGCACTACAAGTGAGTTGTTCTTCTTTCTGCGTGCTCTGCTGTCTATGCTGTTAAACAAAAGAACAAAGAGGGTGATTATTTTGGGGTTTTTTTGGCAAGGCAGTTGGGGTTAAGTGACTTGCCCAGGGTCACACAGCTAGTGAGTATCATGTGACTGAGGCTGGATTTGATCTCAGGTCCTCCTAACCCCGGGGTAGGTGTTCTATCCACCTAGCTGCCCCAAAGAAGGTGATTATTGCAGACTCTCCTGCTCACTTTGTGTGCAGGCCTGTGTGTATGGAGAGACAAAGATGAAGTCCAGGGATGTGTTGTTAAATGTTTAACAACTGGCTCTCGGGGGAGGGAATATTCCTACCATACATGCTTACATTTAACCTACCTATCAATGTTTTCTCCATCATTTTCTTAAAGCTACACGATCAACAAAGTAATAAACCAATCCCTGATTTGTAACATTTGCCAGTTTCTAAGGTGTCAATACTCATGCTGGAAATTTAACAATCTGCTCCTGAGAGCTGGTGTGCGCTGCCTTGTGCTGGTCTGTGCTGGCTGCTGTGCCCTCATAACAGATGCTCAGCCTTCCTCAAGTGCCAACAGCCCTCAAGGAGAAGCCAGTTCTATGAAGAATTTGATCAGCAGGGCCCAGGGCCCCTTTCAGGAATGATGTGCCTTGGCGAGGTATGTGGGCATCCAGGTCTAGGAGCTCATGTGGTGGCTGGCCCTCTCTGTCCACCCTGGGCCAAGAGCCCAGAGGATAGAATCTCGCCTCGAATCACCCCAGGGCCACATTCCCTCACATCTAGCGCTCTTATAGTCTGGCTGACTCTGGTTTTAAACCATTACATAATCAGTGAAAGGAGTTTAGGGTAATGGCAGCCTAAGATGGGCGAGCTAGGCGGTACAGTGGATAGAGCACTGGGTCTGGAGTCAGGAAGACCTGCGTTCAAATCTGGCCTCAGACATTTACTATCTGCCTGACCCTAGTCAAGTCACTTAACTCTGTGTGCCTCAGTTTCCTTGTCTGTAAAATGAGCTAGAGAAGGAAATGGCAAACCGCTCCAGTATCTCTGCCAAGAAAATCCCAAATGGGGTCATGAAGAGTCAGACAGAACAACAAAAATGGGGCAGGGATAGGCTGGAGCCAGTCTGAATGGGCTCTGAGCCGATTGTTAAATTCTCATTGTGAGCTTTTACACGTTAGAAATAAGCAAACATAAATAAGGGCTTGATTTATTGTTTTATTGGTTGTCTTGACTTAAGAAAATGAAGAGAAAATGTTGATCACTCAGACTCGATTTAAAAGTGTGTCATGGGTACATTTTCTCCCCAAAGAGCCAATTGTTACACATTTGCCAGCATACCACAGTGGTGGGTGAGAGGGAGACAGTGTGTAAACAATTGTTTGCATGTGACATTTGCAAGTCGTAGAACATTAGCTCTACAAGGAACATTTTGTGCCCCTGACTCCACTGTGCAGCCCACATTTCAAATAGATATTTCATTTTGTTTTTCCATTTCCCCCCCAAACTTTGCAAAGCACGTTCACATCCATCATCTTGTTTATGCCTTGTAGTGCCCCCTGTGAAGTAGGCAGGGGAGCTATTATCACCCCATTTTGCAAAGGAGGAAACTGAGACTTGTAGTGAGTTAGTGAGTTCCCTAGGGTATGCAGGTAGCTGACAGCAAGGGGTAGTGGAGCCTTGGTCACTGAGTCAGAAGATCTGGGTTTCAGTCTTGACTCTACCACTAACTCATGGAGGGACCTTGGGGGTCACCTATGCTCTGTGGGACTCAGTTTCCTGTTTGGAAAAATGAAGAAGGGTCAGACAACCTGATCCCTGAGGTCCCCTCTACACCCTCTGAATCTAGTGACACCAGCTGGGATGAGGACTCTGGTTTCCCAATTCCCAAATGCACCGGTCTTGTCACAGCCTCATCCTGTCCAAACTGTTTTATTTCATTAAAAAAAAAGTTTCATAACTGGATCCCTTTCCATGTCATGGAGCTCCATTTCACAATCAAATGACTGCATGTTGTTTACAAGGGGGGATTGTTTATATTTTGACTGTCTCTCACTTTGTTTTGTAAGACCCAATTCCATGTTTTCCGATGTTCAGATGTGTCCTCTGCTGTCCCTGGGATCTGTCTCCACCATCCTCCTTCCTGATCCCGGCTGTCTGGCAGCCATCATTGCAGGGAACGTCTGGCTGTTTTCAGACAAGAGCAGGGCCGGAAATCATTAAGCTCACAGAAGGCTCCAGTCTCCTCCGCTGATAGCCCTGAAGGGCATCTCAGCTGTTGTTCTGCTGAGGACACCCATGCTGCTCCCTCTTTTCTGAGACTCCTATTCCCCCATGGTTCTGGTTGAACCATATTGCTTCCTCATTCAATAAACCCCAGAGGCTCCCTATAACTCCCAGGATCAAATGTAAAATCCTTTGTTTGGCTTTCAAAGCCCTTGCATCCTCTCCAGGGGCAGAAAGCACAGGCTGTCACAGTCACGATGTGGGTTCAAATTCTGCCTCAGATGCTTAATAGATATGGTACCCTAGGCAAGTCACTTTATTTCTCTGTGCCTCAGTTTCCTATTTGGTAAGTGTAGGGGGTCAGATGGCTTCTAGGTTTCTTTCTACCTCTCTATGATTCAAGAAGCCAGAGCTGTGGGTCACAGACACACACACACACACACACACACACACACACACACACACACACACACACACGGCTGTGGGCTGGAGTAGCGAGGGAAGGCTTGGATGGACAAGAGACTTAGCCTGTTGGGGCACCGGCTTCTTCTTCTACAAAATAAAGGGGTTAGACTGGACTTCTAGAATCTCTTCTATGGACAAACCCATATCCTATGCCTTAGGGTTTAGGCATGCAAGGAAATCGGGGAAGGATATAACATAAGAACAGAAGGATTTAGTGCTGAGGAGAATCCAGGAGTCTTTTGAGGAGGCCCTTGGTTGAAGGGTTCTTGCAAATGGAAGATAGGAGAAAGTCAGGTTGGAATGGGTTCACATCCTACCTTACTAGCTATCTATGTGACCTTGGGCAAATCTCTCTGGGCCCCAGAGGGATGGGGGGGGGGGGAGGCAGACCAGATAGTCTCTGAAAGCCCTTCCTGCTCTAAATCTATTGT